CGGAGGATTGGATTTTAAGTTGGGATTTGAATAGTAAAAATTTTGAATTTGAATAGTTGTATAATGTGATATAAATAGGTGTTGATTTGATATTTTGAATGTAAAATTGATTTTTAGTATAATATAAAAATAAAAAATAGGTGTTTGATTTGATATTTTTTAGGGAAAAAAATTGGATGAATAGTGTAAATCTAATCCAATCCTCCAAACAAACACACCCTTAAAAAATTGTATATTATACATATTTATTATTTTTATATTTCTTGTATAATTTTTTATATTTCACATAAAATATATATATATATATTTAAATCATTTTACAAAACAAACAACCCAATATATTTCATTGCAAAAACTAACACAAGTATATTTACAAATAGAAGCAATAAGGTAAATATCAATATCAATATATATATACACAAATATACTATAATATATATTTTTTCCGTCTCACTTATCACTTTTGTGCCTATCTTTTCATTTTCATCTATCCCACTTACTTTATTATTTTTTTCGAAAAACAAGTATAAATTTTAATTCGATAAATTAATTATCTTAATATTAATTTATAATTACTTTTATTAGTATATTTTTAATTATATACTAATTATATCTTTAATCAATTCATGTCTCTACAGTAAAATAAAACCATAGCCGGACGAAAAGAGTAATATATAATGTATATACTAACAAAAAAAAAAATAATAAGTAGGTTCAAACCCCGACGCCTCAGGACACATGCCACACATGATTCGTCTAGTGTGTTTGCAAGGTATTAGGTTCAACCGAGGGCTTACCCAATGCGCACTTTCGGGTAGCGGCGGCAGTTTCACGGTATAAAAATAATAAAAAAAAAATAATAAAAAATAAGGATCTAAATAATTAGAGTGTCGGTAAATAAAGAATTATAAATATTTTTAACTGGGCTGGTTTTCAACCCTTTGCCCTAATCTTGGTTGAAAGATGTAATGATGGTTTGAGTGTCCGGTAATTAACAATAATAAAAGCCAAATTTTTGGGCTTTAAATTTTAATTAAAAGGAAATCTCTTACGTTGATTAATTTGATTCGATGCATTTTGCAAAAACAGACAAATACAGGAAATAATAATAATAATAATAATTATTATTATTATTATTATTATTATTATTGACATAACAAAAATGGTCAAATAGAACTTTGACGACAGCAACACATGTAAAAGAGAATTGTGTAGTAAAATGTTCTTTTTAATTTGAATTTTGATATTATGAATATAATTTTTATTGAATATATTATTAATATAATTTTTATTTGTGTGTAGTTTATTACTCCATTCGTCCCAAATATTATGTTCATGTTGCCGTTTCTGTCCGTCCCACATACTATATCACTTTTCTTTTTTAAAAAATGATTACACATTTTAATCTCATTTTAAATTTTTTAATTTTTTCAATTGTAATTAAACTAATTAGTTATGTTAATCTTAATTTATAATTATTTATATTATATGATAATTATTTTTACTAATACATTCTTAATTATCTACTAATTATATTCCTTCTAAAATACCGTGTCTACAGTGTAACAGACACAGTATCTGGGACGGATGGAGTATTTTATTTATCGTTTATAATATTTTAAAAAAATTAATAATCTATTTATAGGACGTAGTATTTAATTTTTGTTTAGGGCCATGAAAAAAATATGAGACAGCCTATATACTATACACATTTTATATGTAAATTAATGATATTATATTAATAATAGGTAAAGTATAATAGGTTTTTTTTTATTGGATGTTTTTTTCTTTTATATATATATATACAATTTTTTATACTACATATAGATTATCATTTTACAAAAATCACCGTTGAATATAAAATATAAAATAATATATTATAGTTATATTTAATTTAATTTAATTTAATTTTGTTAATATTTTGATTTCCTTAAACTACTGTGCTTTGTCTCGGACCAAGACCAACAAACCGCACTTTGTATTCAATTATAGCACCATAATGGGAGGAGTGCAATTTGAACCGTGGGATGAGAGAAGGATGACCTTATGGACGGCCAGGATCTATCGGAGAGTGCATCATGTCACGTGCACGGTGCAGGATGCTGCTATTGCTAGTGAAGTCAAGGATTAAGATTGGAGGCAGGCAATTTATGTGGTGCAGAGTTGGACTTGTGACCGTAAGGTCTCATGGGTTTAAACTCTCAAAGTTTCAAGTCACATGCCGTACATGGTTCATCTAGTGTAATTTTTTCGTCGGATCTAATTTATAGCGATTGCGGTTCCCACATCATTAAAAAAACAAAAAAAAAAAAATTTAAATAAAATATTATTCACTTTGTCTCGTTGATACTTTATTTTATTTTATTTTGTGTTTTATAACAGTTGAAATGTTTTTATTTTTTTAATAAATTTATTAATATTTAAAAATAAATATAAATTAATTTAATTAAATTTTTAACTTATTATATATATATATATGACCAATTCAATATTACATTTTTTTTTATATAGATATATATCCTTGATCAACTAAAGTAGAATAGTTAAAAACTTTTTTATTCATGTATTTTTTTTAATAAATAAATGTATTTACCTATTTTTACAAATTTGTACTTTTATATAAAATTAATTTTCTATTGATAGTAAATAAATAAACTTTATTTAATTGTACTATATAAAATATGATTTATATTTTATTTAAACATAGTAGTATTTAAAATATTTAAATATATATTAGAAATAAAGAACTTATAATATTAATTTTCATTTTAAAATATCGACACAACTACTTATATAAAAAAAAATAAATAAAAATAGTATCATAATTTATTACTTTTAATTGAATAAATTATATTTTTTAAATATTGTGTAATTAATCAAACAATCAACAATTATGAGATAAATATAATATAAAATTAGTATAAAAAATACTCTCTCCGTCCACATGTAACGTTTATATATTTATATTTTTGTCTGTTCAAATCAAATGTTTATGATCTTTTAGTAATTATAAACTCTACCATTAACTATTACTTTTTTCGTCCTACATAATATGTCTCTATTTTATATTTTTATCTGTCCCACATAATTTGTTCTTTCTATTTTTAAAAATATAATTATGCACTTTAATCACATTTTAAATTTTAAATTTTATAATTTTTTAATTTTAATTAAACTATTTAGTTATCTTAATCATAATATATAATTATTTTTATTAAATAATAATTATTTTTACTAATACACTTTTTAATTACCTACTAATTATACTTTATCTAAATTCTCGTATCTCAGCAATAAACCCAAAATATGTGACACGGAGGGAGTACTATTTTTGCAATTATTTACCATCTTACTCTCATTTTATTATATATTTATATATAAAAATAAGAACACTTTAATTTCTATACTATTATATTTATCTATTATTACTAAAATATTAATATATTTAATTCACATGTAAGCATTAAATATAAATATTAGAATGAGAAGGAAAAAAATATATTCCCTCCGTCTCATAACTATAATTTGGGTGGGTAAAAAGTATAAGTAAAAGACCTTTTTGTCTTTATGAGTGTATTAGTGTAAAAAGTAATGACAATTGTGTAATAAAAATAAAAAAAGTAAGGATAATTTTATAGTGATATGATTATTTATTGAAATGAGACTATTGTTTTGGGATGGACAAAAATAGTAAACAAAGACTATTCTATTGGGACGGAGGGAGTACTATTCAATTCGTTCTAATTTAAAGTACTTTTATACCATTTTTATCAGTCATACTTTAAAGTATTTTATTTTTTTTAGTAAAAATAATTATATATTAATACTAAAATATTAATTTTTATTTAAGTTACAACTACTTATTCCGTCTATTTTCAATCTATTTATTTTTCTATTTTGGTTTGTCTCGTAACAAAATATCTATTTTATTTTTATTTTTAGTAAATGTATCTTCTACTAACATTAAAAATATCCTTATAACTTACAATGTATTACATAAATGTTATTACATTTATATCATATAATATTAATAAGATTATTTTAATTACCACATTCTAATATAATATTCATATTATTAAAACTTTGTACAAAAAGCCGAATAGATAGTTAAGATACGGATGAAATATACAATTGCACTATAATTACTTTATATATAAAATTAAATAAAAAAAACTTCCCCCGTCATATTGAAAAGTTACTATTTTCTATTACCGTTCGTTTCAAAACAAGGTTACCATTTCCTAATTTAATAATTGTATTACCTACCTAATATAATAAATACCATTTCAACTTACAATATATTACACAAATGTCATTATTTTATACTACACAAAACAAGGGTATTTTTGTCTTTTTTACTACACTCCAATATAATACTAATATTTAAAATTTTTTGCACAAATGCCAGTATTAAAAGTTGTTACTCCCTTCGTCCCAGATACGTGTTTACTACACTGTAGACACGGTATTTTAAAAGGGGTGTAATTAATAGATAATTAATAATGTATTAGTAAAAATAATTATCATATAATATAAATAATTATAAATAAAAATTAAGATAACTAATTAGTTTAATTAAAATTAAAAAAAATAAAATTAAAAAATTTAAAATGAGATTAAAGTGTGTAATCATTTTTCAAAAAAAAAATGACATGATATATGGAACGGATAGAAACGGCAACGTGGACATGGTATCCGGGACGGAGGGAGTATTAAATAAAAATAAAAAGGATGAATGCGCAAAGCAAAAGGAACCAACAAACACGTGACGTGGATATGATTATTCCAATTTCTTTATTCGAGATTCTCTCTGCTAAAGCTGCCAACACTCACTCCCTCGCCTCCTTGCTTTTATTTCATTTTCCACTTCACTTCACTTCACAAATTTTCATTTATTAAAATTATTATTTTTAATTCAAATTCAAATTTTATTTATTTATTTATTATTTTTATTATAGACAAAACCCTTTCAAAAATTTTCATTCATGGATTGGGCGGGCTATTGGGCCGAGTCAGTTTCGTGATCGCGTGTGCGTTTCCGTTCCGAATGGTTTTGATCACGCGGTTTCTGCACCTCCATGTTTTCGCGGAAGATGGAAGATATTTTCGTTGCTACGAACGAGTAGACGAGACGCAACCGCGCGTCGCTTTCGCCGCCTGATTTTGAACCTCTGGCCGACCATTTCACCACGCTAGGTATGAGCTTCATTCGAGTGAATGCTTATTTGTGTGTGAATCTGTTCGTTGGTGGGAGGAATGGCGACCCTGGGAATAGGCGGCAGCAAATCGGCCTTGTCGGCTGCAAAATGGCCGGTTAGACTCCGCTACAACGCGTTGAGACGGTGTTTTTGGGTGCTGAAGTCGTCTGTTTTGATTCCTTCGAGGATTTATGGCCGTCTGTTCAAGGCTCAAGTCCGAGCTTCTTCGTCCCGTTCGTCCCCCGTCGTTGAAGCTGAAACAGTAAGTGTTTACGAGGAATTACTGGTTTCTGCTTTTATGTTTGTCACTTTGTCGTTTGGTCCTGTTGAGGTTTCGAAGTTTAGTGGCTGAAGAGTAGCGCGCACTGTCTGAAAATTTAGGATCCTGTTATTGATGAGGAGAAGTTGAACATTCGGAAGAATATTTTTGCTTGTCCGATTTGCTATGAGCGAGTGATTTGGAATGGTGATCCTGACCTATCTTTGTAAGTGACTTATTTTTAGAACTCAAACTATGTTATGCACAATCCTTCAGAATTCTGACAATTTGATAGCGAAGAAGCTCGTTAACGTTGAAATGCACTTGTAGGCGGTCTCTATCTCGGTCTACCTTGCCATGTAGCAATTGCAGGAAGTCATACACTGGAAAAGATGTATATCTTGATCTAACAGTAACTGGCGGTGGCAAGGTGTATGGTGAACCCATTGCTGCATCTACTGAGCTTTTCAGGTAGAAGATATGCTTATTGTTAGAATATGGCCAATTCTGGAATAGTATGTTAGGGCAACTCTTCTCTTTTCTCATAGAAGCTATGGCAGAGTATTGAAACAATAGCTGAGTATCTAGAAAGGCTATCTATAAGGATTGTGTATGCATTCTGGTTTCTTAATGGTCCCATTGATTTCAGTTAGTTGTGTATAAACTTGAATGCTAAACATTCATGCAGAATCTCTGTTAGTTACTCTGGATAATAGATATCCACTGTTTTTGTAATGGGGAGAAGCTGAATTGTATTTTGGTTCATGTACTTGGATATTCGGAATTCTAGTTTTGATGATGATGCTGCTGTTAGTTTTGCACATTATTGCCATGGAACTACATGTTCATGAACCTTGGGAATCAAATAAGTTTCTGTTTGTGATGGCAGGTTGCCTTTGGTATCATTTCTCTACGAAAGAGGCTGGCGACAGAGTTTTTCAGTCTGGGGTGGTTTTCCCGGTCCAGAGAAGGAGGTGAACTAACTAAACTCCACATCTTTACAACAATTTAGTTTATATTCATTGATTTTGTATATGCACACATTTATAACTTTTATCAATTATCTAAGTGGTAAATCATGACGTTATGATGAAACGGGAATAACTAAGCCAATCATGTTTGTTTTAATTGATAGCCTTTCACTGGCCTGAAATAAGAAATCATGGTTCAAATTGAAATAACTATCACTGTGATTGTTGTTATGGCTTAGCTTAATTCCGATTGGCGTCAAATGCAGTTTGAATTGATTAAAGATTACCTCAAACCAGTGTTAGGCGGAAATATTATCGATGCAAGTTGTGGGAGTGGTATGTTCTCGAGACTCTTTGCGAAAAGCGGACTATTCTCCCTTGTGGTTGCCTTGGACTTCTCCGAAACCATGTTGCAGCAATGTTACGATTTCGTTAAGCAGGAAGATAACTTTCCTGAAGAGTATGTCTTTCCTGTACAATTTATTTTCTATGATTTTGTAGCTCTTTTAGTCATTTTATACAACTTTTTTGAACCATTGTATCCATGTTTTATAAGTGTCTTCCTTCGTCTCAGAAACTTAATCCTGGTGAGAGCTGACATCTCCCGCCTCCCGTTTGCTTCAAGTTCCATAGATGCCGTACATGCCGGTGCCGCTTTACACTGTTGGCCTTCACCATCAGCAGCTGTAAGCATGGCTAAATCTTACCTAACATCAAATGCTGTCTTGTAGACTTTAGGGTGTGTTTGAGTAAGAGAATAAAAATTTAAGAAAGTGTAGAGAAATGGAGAAAATTAATAATTAAGAATGTGTTTTTAATTGTTTTCTTTATAGGATTTAACTTTTTCGATTTCTTTTAAGAATAATAAATACTCCCTCCGCCCTAGTTGAAAGGAACCCTTTGGGATTTTGTAGTAAATTTAAAAATAATAGTATTTTATTGGTATTAGTGTATGATTATTTTTTCTAAAATAGTAAAATGATACTTTTGAGTGAGACAAATGAAAATGATAAAAAGATATCTTGAGTTGGAATGGAAAGAGTATATTATTCCTATCTCATAAAAATCACATCTAGATTATTATTTAAAAAAAAAATCACTAATTAAATACAATAGCTTCACTGAAACTCACTCTTGCCTGAGTCATTATTTTTTATGTCGCTTCATCTATATAGTTGTATTATTATCATTATTTTCAAAATTTCTCAATTGGATTATCTATTTTACTAAATAGGAGAATTGATTCTTATTTTCTATCGAATTCTTTTTCTATACAATTCTATTCACTGCAATAATTTATCTGCAATTCTATTCTACGTATCAAATGCACTTTTAAGTCATTAGATTAACTTGTTTTGTCCCCCTTGTGCCAATTCTACATTCAATTCGCTCTATAGGTTGCAGAAATAAGTCGGGTGCTAAAACCGGGAGGAATCTTTGTTGCTACAACCTATATTTTAGACGGCCTACTTTCATTCCTCCCTCTACGTCGACCACTACGCCAGGTACAGCTTTTCCCAATATCTGTAGTCCCGGTCACAGCTTAATTGCCATTAAACTCTTGTGCAGAATGTTGCGCAAATCTCGGGCAGTCATGTGTTTATATCCGAGGCAGAACTGGAGGATCTGTGCACAGCTTGCGGGCTTGTAAACTTTACGTGCACCCGGAACAGAAGGTTTGTCATGATCTCCGCCATGAAACCTGTATAATCTTTCTGGTACGCCTCTGCTCTCCCCATTTCCCTTTAATCTATATGGTCTTATGTGTAATCAAAATACTTAAATTGAATTTGAATATAAAGAACAAGGGGAGGGAGAATTATTCAAATTGTTTCTCATTGTCATTTGTCACCCTAATTTTTATGTGTGGACAGTGCCTGCTTATATTTACTCTATTAAGAATGTTTTATATGTACTCTCTGTGTTCGGGATGTTTATGTGACTTTCATATACAACTAAAGAATAGGAATAATATTTTGCTATAAAAGTGGATAGCTAAGAAGTAAAAAGAAGTTATTTGTGACACCTTGGCCTACAAGTTACGCAAAGTCGAGCGCGTCGGGATTGTAGACTAGCCACATAAGTCAACACGAGTTCTTCCAACACGTTTTTGTCATCACTCAAGCACACCTGGGAGACTTCCCAGAATCACTCATCCTCAAATTACTTTAGAGTAACCATGTTTAACTCTAGAGTTATTTTAATAGGGGTTTTCGAAAAAATATATGCACATTGTTGACATCTATTGAATCCATTTAATTATTATTCAACGTTGGATGTCCCGACGCTGGTTCATCCATGGGAGTTGGCCTAGCATGACCCAATATTATGAAAATTTTATTGAATAGTTAATAAAAAAAATAAGGTCAAATAGTTGGTATTTATTAAAGTAAAAGTAATAAAATTGTAAATTTATAATTTTTTTACTATGTTTGAATTATGCATAAATTTACTATAAATTAGTTACTACTCTCTCGTTTTTTTTTTTTTTTTTGTTTTTTTTTTATGTTTTTATTTTAAAATTTGAAATTTCTTGCATAGAAATGAAATAGGTGTTGTTGTGTTTGATGATTTGAAATCAAAATAGATGTCTACTTTTATTTTAGTTTTGGATTTGGAAAATTTACATGTGAAGCGTGCTTGCTATAGTTGAATCTCCTCTCTTTTTTTTTTTTTTTTTTTTTTTTTTTTTTTTTTTATAAATATCAACATACTTAATATTATAGGAAATGAGGGTGTAGTCTAACCCCTCAATCCGTTGATTTTCGGGTTCAATTTTCATCAAGTCTATTCAAAATAACACATTAAGGATATGTTTGTTTCAAATTTTGAAAGATTTTCACTATTTAAATAATTTTTTTTTTTCAAAAATATCAAATCAAATATTTATTCTTTATATTATATTAAAAATCAAATTTATATTTAAAATATTATATCATACAATAATTTAAATTCAAATTTTTTACTATTGAAATTCTAATCTAAAATTCAAATTTTGAAACAAACATACTCTAAGTGACATGGTTTGATCCGTACCGTCTGAAAATTGGGCCAGATTTTGTTATGAAGTTTCATACTTTCAGTAGCATACATGCGTTTCTGGGCCGGCCAGTTGGATCTTCTTGCTCTTTATTAAGACACCTTGATTGAATTTATTGATGTCACAAGAATATGATTGATACAACCAATATATTATAAATATGCTGAAATATGTATAAATAGCAGTGAGTCGTGACAGCCCATGGTAACGGTAATGGTAATGGTAATGTTTGGTGGTGTTGTGGTTTTGGTCTCGCCATTTCTGGAAGATTTGGAGTGCAATATTGGGAAATTATCCATCTCGCTTCGTGGAATGGAATGTGATCTCAAATCAAATCTCCTTAATCATTGCTGCATGTTAGGCTTTCTTCTACTCCCTTCGTAATTTAATATCTTCTCATATCTCTCGCTTTTTAATAATAATAATAATAGTATTAATTATTGGAGTTTAATTTATATAATCAAATATTGGAAAATGATTGCAGCAGTTAGTTGGTTGCGCTTAATAATTACTTATCTTTTAGTATCGTTTTATAATTATATAATTATTTTTATTAAAAAAATGTCGTGATAAATATTTTAATTTATTAATTTAATTTAATTTTATTATATTGTTATTTCTTATTATCTATTTTTCTTTCGGTGTAATGTATAACGTGGCAATAACGGATCATAACAAGAAAGCCTATGCTATAGTGGGTTTTTGTTTTTTTTTTGTTTTTTTTTTAAAATAAATAAAACTAAGGTTTTTTCGTTTGGTATTTTTGTTGATTTTTTTTTATAAATATTATTAAAAAATATATTATATAATACAATATACTACTATATTTTATTTATTTATAAAAAATTAACAATTAAGTTCCATAACAGAATATCTATTTTTTTTAAGTAATTGTAATATTACAAATATAATTTTAATTCATAATATAATATACATATACCATTAAGTTTATATTATACAATACTAATAACGTTAGTTTAATTTTTTTCCATTTATTTCTGCTACATTATAATATAATACTAATATTTTTAAATTTTTCTTAAAAAAGCATAAATTGAGATGGATAGAATATTTTTTTATATTATAATATAATTTTTGTATTTAATATAAAAAATTCGTATTCAAAACACAAAATGAACAACACAGCCCATATTTATTTATTTTTTGTAAGATTTAATCACTCCTTAACTATTATATGAATATTATTTTATAACATTTGTTTAAATATACATGTGGAAATGGAGTACAATACTTCTTTGTTTATTTGAAAAAATTACACTTTATATGTATTTTTAATAATCTTTTCCATAATTTATAAATTCATCTATAATAATTTTCTTTAAAAATATAAAAATAAATAATATTTTTTACATAAATGTTTTACCCTTTAAAAAAAAAATCAAAAATTTATTTGTTTATCTAGTTTTATAGTTTGTAATATTTTTGTTATTAATAACTAGCATAAAAGTTACAGAAAATGATAATTTTGATGGGATAGAATTGATTTTTTTGATAAATATATAGATTTATAATGTTTTTATTTATTAAAATGACTAAAGATATTTTATTTTTTATTTATTTTTCCTTTTTAATATATTTAGAATTTTTTTATTGATTAATAAAATTATGTAAGACTGATTTTGATATTTTTATTATTAATTATCTTTACATAAAAGTTATAGAAAATGATAATTTTGATGGATAGAATTATTGACCTTTTTGATAAATATATAGATTTATAATATTTTCATTTATTAAAATGACTAAAGATATTTTTTTTTGTTTATTTTTTATGTAAGACGATTTTGATATTTTTATTATTAATTACCTTTACATAAAAGTTATAGAAAATGATAATTTTGATGGATAGAATTATTGATTTTTTTTGATAAATATATACCTTTATAATTTATAATATTTTCATTTCAAAATACTAAAAAAAAAAAAAAAAAAAAAAAAAAAAAAAAAAAAAAAAAAACACAACTATATAGCCACTGTTTATTATTTCCAAAATTGAAATGAACAATAATAATAATTTTTTAAAAAAAAAACCACTATTTCGAAAAAAAAAATAAAAAATACACACATATTTACACAAATTATAACCTATATTGCAGCAAATAAATTATAAAAAATAAAAATAAACATTCAAAAATAAAAATATGCGCTATACAGAAATCCTACATTTCCACCTCAGAGTGAAAACCTAACAAACAATTAATATTATTATATATATATAATATATTTTTATTTGTTTTTTTAAAACAGAAAAAAAAAAATAATAATAAAAAAAAATTGATGATCATCGCTTCCAGCTTCGACTTCGAGGAAGCATGTCTCTGATTCCTCCGACGATCCACGTTTCCCTCGCAATTTCATCCGAAATTTTCGAGCAATCTCCACCGCATTGCGCCGTCACTGATTCCGGTTGTAGTTGTTCCTCCGCCGTCGCATTCTGGTTCTCACAATAATTTTCCTCCAACAGCCAGTTTTTCGCCGGAGCTGATCGGCAGCGCATGAGCATCAGGGCGTTCGGCGGCGGCGCCGCCGATTGAGAAAACTCGCCGTCGTTTTCGTCGTCGGCTAAGTCCGGTGTCACCGTTTTCCCTTTGTTTGCCTGTTTATTGGCGAATTCTGTCCCTTGATTTTCCTGCAAAATCATATACCACTTGGAGAAGACGGCGTTCGAGCTACCGTCGGTATCCTTTTTCAAACGGTGGTTTTCATCTCCATCTTCGTCTTCATCGTCGTCGTCTTCGTCGTCGTCGGAGGTGATTCCGGCGGAGGGGAAAGCGCCGAAGCACCGAAAATCGAAGCGGAGATTTCTTAGGCAAGTCAGAAATTGCATCACGTCTTTCTTAAACCCTAGCGATTCAATCCACGTCGATCGCCTCTTCTGCTTCCGATTCTTATGCATCCGTTCGATCTCCTCCATCACCGATTGCCAATTTTTGCACGAGCTCGGCTTTGCCCTAACTTTGATTTGCCCTGCGCAGGTGACTTTTGGGGACGTCGGCTCAGAAAGATCCGAATTAGGCGCTTTTGATTTCATCCACATTTGGGGGCTTCCATGGCCATTCCCAACCCCAACCCCCAATCTACTGTTAGATTTCCTCCTTAGGCGGTGGCGCCGCTGCTGCCCTGCGGCGGACTCCGGCGGTCGAACCGGACTGCAGATTGGCTTCGGAATCATGCTCAAATGAGCTCTAGAAGGAAAGCAAACAAGCAAATCAGCAGCAGGAGGTACTTTACCTTCTCTCCCTCTCATTATTTTTCGAAATTGATCACAATTCTTGCCAAATTCAGAACTGTTCATCAGAGTTAGATTCTACTTTGTGCCTTTGTTTGAAAATGGATGGCTGAATTTAAAAGAAGAGGTAGCTTTAGTTCAGAATTGGTTACTTTTGGTGATGATGTGCTTTGTTGTTTTGCTCACCATATATGTTTGTTTGGTTTCTGAAACACTACTGCTTTTATGCTCACCAGTCACATTGAGAATTGGGGTTTCACAGGTGACAGATGAGTGAGATACTCTGCTTCTTTAATGTGTGCTTGGGGGCTGGCTTTACCCTTTATTTTTAGGCCAAACAATGTGGGTATAAAAGAGGGGTTGGGGTTGGGGGGTGGGGGTGGCTAAAGTTGGTGCCCACGAGGCTTGTTTCATGATCCTAACATGACTTGAGTGAGACCCACGCCAGATAAGTCTTTCTTGCTATAATGCATTATCCTAATACATAAAGTTGTAACTACACAACAAATTAGTAGTATTATATACACATGTTTGGGTGTGTGTATCTGTGTGTAGACTTTCATCCTTCAATTCTTTCATTATAATAATTATTTGAGTGTTTGGTGGGAAGTTCATAAAAAATCCCATCTAAAAAACTACCTGCATTAGTTTGATAATGGAAGGTTGAGAAATGGTTGAGAATTCAAGGGGATAATATATATAGTTGTGATTTTAAATTCATGTCTTGTTTACAGCTGTTGATACTCGAAGCGAAGTGAAGATGTAATGGACACACAAAATATGAGAATTTAGTGATTCAGTTCGGTGAACCTACTAGGGTTGGCAGGTCGGTATTTTCACTAGTCTTTAGCACAACAAGTATATAGATGTTAAAGTAAAATACCCGAATGAGTTTGGATGAATGAATGATACATGTCTTGAATGTAAAGCCTTCATTTTGGAGCTTAACAACACTAAAACTTACTCTCTAATGTTTATATAAAATGAGTTCATGGCATCGGTGATTAGAGATGATAATTGTGTGGAAAAAGGGACACCGAAAGTGTCGTGGGAATGTGGAAAAAGGAAAGAATTGTATATGTATCTAAACTAAAGTGACTATTTTGGAATGATTAAGTGATTTAGGGCAATTTGGTATTGGCCCCTCGTTCCATTATTACAAATATTGCTTTAGGATTAGACTTATCCTCTTGTCTTTAATTTATATTCATTTAATTAGTGTGTTTATATATATATTATATATATATATATGTATGTATGTATGGGACAGCTAAATCACATTCTGTTGAAAAAGGTCTTTTTGGCTATGGGAAATTAGGTGTACAAATTTCATTCCATAATGCAATTAGAGCCAAAGGAGAATGAATGATACATGTGAATCTTGTTTGTATTGGCAACTGATTTTGGACTTGTGCCAAATACATTTCATGTAATTTGTTTTTGTTTTTTTAGGTAAGGAACATACGAAGATACTAACTAATCAACCTTGTTTACTATGGTCGATTCAAAATTGTTAGCGCGGTGAGAACTTCCCAACTTCACGATTCCATATTGTAAGAATCTTCGACACTTTTACTATTCATAACCCCTCAGTGGTTGTTGTTTTAGGCCGTATGCTTTTTTAAGATCCGTTTTTAGTGTCCGTAGCCTCATTTCCTATGCGACTATCTTCTAAAGCTAGATTGAAGTCGAAGTGTTAAAGAACCTTAATTAGCAAAACTAATAGGTTGTAAGGAAATGATTCATATGCTAAATTATGGTTATTCAACACATGAAATATAGATTCTCAGCAAGCACATGGCTTAATTAATACAGAATGTTGTGTTTATTTGTTTTATTCTATACGTGTGCTGAGTTATTATATATCATTATTTTTGCAGAAATCAATTGTAGTATGTGTAGAGCTGTAAATGAGCCAAACCGAGTCGAGCTTATCATGTTTGAATTCAGCTTGTTAAGGATTCGAGCTCCACTCGTATTCGTTCGTCATTTAGCAATTTTTATATTCGTGTTCGGCTCGGTTCGCTAAGAGAATTTTTTATTTTACTATATTTTATTTTTTTAAAAAATAAAATAAATATATTATATTTATAAAAATATATTTATTGAATAAATATAAAATTACTAATTTTTTTCTTTTTAAATAAATATTATCGAACGTTCGCGAACAAACTCGAGCTCATTCGTAAACATAACGATCTAAAATTTATGTTTGTGCTCGGCTCGTTTAGCTTAACGAATGAGTTCAAATGAGTCGAACTGAACTAAGTTCGCGAACTGCTTATTTGTTTTACAATTATAAGTATTTGATAAGCTATTGTCACTTGTTGTAGGTTTATATGTTAGTATTTAAATTAAGGTAACATATATTCTTTGTGTTGTCAATTTATAATAATTCATAATGATATGTACTTTGCTTGATCATGATTATTATAAATGGTGCTGGCCTTTTTAGGAGTCTGTTTGAAGGTAATTATTATTATTATTATTATGGTAATTATGGGTCTTTGATAGTGAGAAAGTCGATCATAAAATCAGCAGAAAATCGTGTATTGTTTGTGGTCCACAGATGGATAAAAATGTGTGGTAAAAAGTGAAGAAGAAAAAGTTTGGAGCTTTTCAATGTGCCATCTTATTGACTTTGCCAATCGAAACTAACTTGTAATCTTGCTTCTAATTATTTTAAACATATGCATACAAATAAATAAAACTTTATAATTTCGTTTGATAGATTTATTATACTCTCTTGTCAGGCTCTAAGGTTCTATTTACGTTTTGTTTTGTGTGTTGGTCTTTGAAAATCAATTGTTATATAAAAAAGTAGTTCAAATTAAAAAAAAAAAAAAATTGCATAAATACTTCCTCTTGTAATACTAATAAAAAAATATTTGTATAAAAAAAATTATACAAATATAAAGATATTTTCAATGTTAAGTACAAGTAAATATGACCTAAACTAATGACAAATTGATTATCATTTGTTAAAATAATAATAATAATAAAATTGTGAATAAATAAAATTATTTAGGGGACATCTAAAAAATTATTTACGAATTTTGGCAGAGTATAAAATAAGTAGAACTACTACAAATAATAATAATCTGAAAATTCGATAGGGGCACACAAAATATAAAGATCTGAGCCTATACATTAGATATAAGATATTTTTTAGTTGCCTGTTGAAAAATCGACCCATGCGTAAGCTTCGGTCTGACTTATTAAAATAATTTAAATTTAGATATTTTTAAAAATATATAAATAAATATATAATAAAAAATTAAAATAATATATTTTTAATCTTTGAATTCTTAATTATCAATAAAAATATTATTTTATAATAATTATTCTTATATAGATTATTACTATTTATTTTAAATGAAATTACTAAAATAAATGGTTTCAAAAAAAAATTGGGTTAAACCAGCCGATAAAGTTTGAAACTAGGATGTGTTTGGGCCTGAGTTTTTAAGTTCAATCTAAAACTAATTTGGACCTACCCGAATTTAAAATGGGCAGCCCAGGCCGCCATATTTTAAAATAAGTCAGCTAGAAATTGCCGCCTATAAAAATAACTATTGCATTTATTTGATTCTGATCTAAGTAAAATATATATATATTAGTTATTTATTTCAACGTATTGTGTTGGGAATATGATATGTGCTATAAAAAATTAAAGATATTTTATAATTGGTGTATGATTACTTTTACTAAAATAGAAAAGAGATTTGGAGTGAGACGAACAAAAATGGTAAAAAAAAGTACTTTGAGTTGGGACGGAAGGAGTAATATTTTGATATATTTTAGGCAATTTTTTATGCTAAATTTGAGTATATGCTCTTCCTGGTTTGTTTTTTTACTATGTAATAGATTTCATGGAGACAAACAGGTTATCACATTCTCACCCCCATTCACATAACTACTTCTTAAAAGGGAGAAAGAAAGAACAGGGTCGAGAGAACTCCCAAGAACACGGCAGAACGCAGAGAATTGAGAAGAGCAACGCGGACAGAACTTTCGAGCAATTTCTTTTGTAACACGGTCAACACAATTTCTCCAGGTAACACTTTTTCGTCCCTTCTCAACTTTTGCTTCTTTGTACACAACTTCTTTAGAAACTTTGCATAACGGAGGACTTGCTTAATGTTTTTTTATTATAACTTTATAATGTTAAAAATAATTATAATAAATTGAAAGTGCTAAAATAATCATATAAAATGTATTTATTTTGAAGCTTGAATTTTAAATTTGGGTTTTAATAGTAAAAAATTTAAATTTAATTATTTGATATGATAAGAATAAGTTTTGATATGATATTTTAAATTTTTTTTTGATAAAATATATATATATATATAAAACAATTTGATATAACTTTTTTGTTTTTTTGGAAGTAAAAAGTCTTTTTTTAAAGAAAAAAAATTCCAATCAAATATGTTGGTGATTTTTTAAAAAGTGAAATAATGTATTTTAAACAATAGTTAAAATTGTCCATAATTCTCTTATGATTTCAAAATTCGGCTTAAATCCAATGTACTTTAAAGATTGCATCACGCCTCATTATACTTTAAAAAATATTACATGAAATCCCCTTTCATGCAAAATATTTAAATAGGAAATCATCTTCTCATGTTTTCACAACAGTGGGGTTTCATGCAATGTTTTTTAAAATATAAGGGGTGTCATGCAATTATTTAAGTACATCGAGATTTTACGCGAAATTTTGAAACTACATGAGAGTTATGAACAATTTTACCTAAACAATATTACAAAACAATGTATATAATTGTTGTCATTATGGTTTTAATTCTGAAAGGTTTTTAAAATATGACAATTCGAAATTATCTGACAATAGATAAATTTTAAGGGTGAGTTTGTTTTGTGAAATAGTTTAAAGAGATATTTTTTTATATGAGATATAAAAATTTGTGCAAATAATATAAAAATAACATTTGTGTAATAATTTTTTTTTAAAGAGAGGGGTAGGGGGGGTAAATTATGTTATGTTAATATATACATAGTATTATGTATTATAACATAATATGTTACGTAGTGTGATGTGTTGAATTTTATAACTAAACATTATTGGTGTGTTTATTTGACTAATTTTTTCGAATTTTTATTATTTATTAATTTTTTTAAAAAACAAAACTATTATATTAATTTTATATTTAAAATATTATATTAATATTTATTTATACCATATTATACAAATATTTAAATTCAAAATTTTTTCTATTCAAATAATCTGCTCCCACATATGAAAACTTGAATAAATCAAAATCTAAAACCTTAAAAAGTCTTACACCCATGTATGAAAACAGCCGCCACTAATTGTGGATATTAATGAAGCACAAGGATCTTTTTCACATTTGTGGCATTTGAAATTGCTGACAGAGAAAAAATCACTGGCTATCATACAACATTTTAATGTGATATTTATTCAAAAATAATAATTATTATTATTATTTAATTTAATAAATTTGAATGAAATAAAAATCCCAATAGTAAAAATTTGTAACAGAAAACAATTTTATTTTAGAGTGTAATATAGTACGTCTTTATTTTGATTTTTCCTTAGATTCATACTGAAGAAACGTGCTCATGACTAGAAATTTCAACCACACATTTAGACCTAAATTTGATTTACATAACATTTTCTAAATACACGAAACAGTTTACAAAAACAAAAATTTCAAAAAAATAAAAATACAAAGCATTACAACCCTGGATTAGCCATTTCAAAAATCTGACTAAAGCCAACAAGCCGCGCCGCCGCCGACTAATCATTGACAAAAAGAGACAAAAAAAAAAAAAACCCAATACTACAAATTGGGCCTACAATTTGCAAAAATTCATTGCAGGCCCAATTAGACTGACCGACTTATCTACAACAGACCCAAACGCAAATTCCTAATTATTATTATTATATTGCATCCCAATCAATCTCATTAGAAGGATACTTAGGCAGATACCCCATTTCCCAACCGGGTTGCTCCTCCGACTCGAACTCAAAGAAACCCGGATCCGAACCCAGGGACGCCTCGATCGACCCGTCGCTCTCGGATTCAGACATCTTGCCGCTCTTCTCCTCCTCTTCCGCCGAGGCCGCCGCGGCGGCGGCGGCGGCGACGGCAGCCGCCTCCTTAGATTTCTTCGATCTGGATTTCTTGACCTCAGCGTCGATACTCCGGCCCTGCGCCAGCGCCTGGCAGATGTCCTCCAGCTTAGCCTCGACGCCGGCGGGAAGCGGCTGATACTCCCCAAACCCGCCGCCGGCGACGACGCGTGAGCCGCTGTGGCGGAGGTGCGGGAAATTGAGCCGCGCGTAGTCCCCACGCAGCTTATACGCCGCCTTGTCGTACGCCAGCGCCGCCTCCTCCGCCGTGTCGAACGTCCCCAGCCAGAGGCGCGTGCGGTTCTTCGGCAGCCGGATCTCCGCCACCCACTTCCCCCAGTGGCGCTGCCGTACCCCACGGTACAGCTTATTCGGCTTCGGCGGCGCCGCCGCCTTCATCGGCACGGACCTGGCACGGAGTGCCCCCGGGTCATGGGTCGGATACGGGTTGGCACCTATTTGGGCCTGGATCAGCCCAATAGGTGAAGAAGAATAGGGTTGGGGTACGCCCGTGTACATATTGGGCGGTTCACACGGACTGGCGTAGTAGAAAGAATTGTAGGAATTGTAGGGAAGGGAACCGGAGAGAGGGGAAGGTGTGGAAATAGTAAAAAACTGGTCGCTACCACTGTGCGGTGAAGAAGGGAGATTGGAAGGAGAAAAATTGGGTGTGGAAGAAGCACTTCGAATAAAAGGTTCAAGTGCATCCATAAGGTCACCACCTCTAAAAGGATCTAAAACTTCTGGGCTACTCCAAAAATCCATTGTAGCTGCCATCTGAATTGAATCGACAATAATCTTGCAAACAAATCAACAAAAAAAACGACCGAAAATCGAATCTTTTTTTTACCTTTTTCAAGGATCCGAGGTTTAAAATAAGCAACCCCTTGAACCCCTTTTGTAGAATCGAGGGAACGACTAATAAGCCCTCAAACAAACGAAAAAATTGCAGAAAGTTAATAAAGAAAACAACCACAGATCTCTCTCGTTCTGAAAACACCTGATTTTTCTTGAAATCAAGATTCTAAGTTTGCCTTTCTCTGTTCTTGATGAATTTTCAATAACCCAAAAAAACAAACCCAAATTAAAATCAGAAAAACAGATGATTCACAGAAAGGGATCAGCGGAAGCGGGATCGATCAGAAGGGGGAAATTACAGAAAGGAAAAATTAAACACAGAACTCAGAAACCCTTACAAGACTCTGTTGAGCAAAATCTTGTGAAGTGTGTGCAAGTGAGAGAGAGAGAGAGAGAGGAGAGAGGAAATTTAGGTGAAATTGAGATGATTTTTTCTTCGATTTGTGGCCGTAATTTGTTCCCAAATGTGCCTTTTTATAACTGGGGAAGCCATTGAAGAGGGTCTGTATTTGCCCTTCTTTGGTATCGTAATCTGCTGCGTTGAAATTCGTGCACCGAATCCAATGGGAGGGGGACACGTGTTTTTGCGGATGGGGATTTGTGGGTTTTTTGAGTGGGTCCTGGAGCGTGTACCGGGTATGATGGGAACGGTTATTAGTGTGGGTCCCATTTCCGTCGGCACTCTTGATGGTTGTGATCTTGTCGGGATCTGGAGTCCAGGGAGTGGGAAGTTACTTGTTGAGAAGGTGAGAATTGCCGTGCGCCTTGGAATTGATTCTTGCCCGTTTGGTGGACAAAAGGGGCGTTCGACGTTGCTTCCTTTGTCGTTTTCGTATTTTCTCTCTGGCCCCTTTTCTTTTTCTCATGATAATATTTATCATGCTTTTTATTGTTTATCGACCCCTTTTCTTTATTAGATTGTACAAATGCACCCTGTAGATACAAATGGTGGATTTGTTTTTTAAAATAGTTTGAATGAAAATTTTTTTATACTCTTTCTAGTTTAGTTAATTTGTACACCTTAGTTGAGGCACCGAGTAATAAAAAGTGTGTTAGTAAAAATTATTATAAATTATGATTAAAATAATTATATAATTTAATTAAAATAAAATATAAATTATAAATTTTAAAATATGGATAAAATATATAATTATATATATTTTTTTAAAATAACAAATTATGTGGGATTGACGAAAATAAAAATAATAAACAAATTATATAAAATTGAGGGAGTATAAGATAAAGGAAATTGAAGGTGACATAAAAAATAGGGCACAAATCCTATGTTGACTCAATTAAATCAACATTGTGCTAATTTGATCGAATTAACATATCACATAAATATATACAATATATATTTTTGCATAACAGAATACAACATATAATGTGTTATAAGTTATAATATAACATATGTTGGTATCATAAATATGATGATAGTATACACTACCCCCTACGTCCCAACTAATTTGTCCACTACCCCCTACGTCCCAACTAATTTGTCCCATTTAGATTATGCACGAAGGTTTAAGTATTTTGTAATTAATGAATAATTAAAAATATATTAGTAAAAATAATTTAAAATGACTAAATAGTTTAATTAAAATAAAAATATTATAAATTATGAAAATTAAAATATGATTAAAGTGTATAATTGTATTTAAAAAAAATAGATAAATTATGTGAGACATACGGAAATAAAAATAACAGACAAATTAAGTGGGACAGATGGAGTAAAATATTGATTGCCTTTATGTGTGATATATATCCAATCAATTAGCTCAACATTGATTTGATTGAATCAGCAACGGCTTCGCAATCATAAAAATAATAAATATATATACTTATATATTAATTTTTTTGAAAATATATTTTTACTTTTTACAACCGAAAAATAAATAAAACACACCACAAATACTATTACGTATCGTTCTTATGTTATATGTATGTTTTTTTCGTTTTTCCTCAAGTTTTAATTATTAAAATATTATTTACACGTAACCAAAATCAAACAAATTCTTATTTTCTCATTTTACAAATTTTGAAATAAGCATATGTTTTATCTGTAAAAAAAAACTATAATCTTAATTAAGTTAGGTACGAGATTTAAAGAATATCAGTACTTTCTTCGTCCCACCTTTGTTGTCTACTATATTTATTTCCATCCGATCTCACCATATTTGTCATTTCTTTTAAAATAATATAACTATACACTTTAATCACATTTTAAATATTATAATTTATAAATTTGTAATATATTAGTTATACTATTTAGTTGTGTTAATTTTAATTTATAATTAATATAATAATACAACATTTTTTTTACTAATGGAATAGAGGAAGTATTATATTTGTAGTAAGTAAAAATATAGGTAAAATATTTTTTTTGTTCCTTTGAATGTATTAGTGTAAAAAATAGCGATAATGATATAATAATAATGAAAAAACAAATATAATTTTATGGTGATATCATAATTTATGTAAATTAAACTATTGTTTTTTAGGCAGACAAATGATAAATAAAATTATTATATTGAGACGGAAAAAGTATTATTTTTTATCATAAATATCACATAAAAATAGTATTCTATATGTTCCACTTAATTTGTCCACTTTTGCTTAGACACAAAGTTTTAGGTATTGATTAATTAGTAAGTAATTGAAAAGAGTATTAGTAAAAATAATTATGATTTAATACAACTAATTATAAATTAAGATTAAAATGACTAAATAGTTTATTTAAAATAAAAATAATAGTAGTAATTATAATTTATTAATTTTAAAATATGATTAAAGTGTATAATTATATTTAAAAATAAAAAATAAATTATGCTATAAAGAATGAAGAAATTAAGTTAACAAATGGAGTACTATCAAAATTTATATATATATATATACCAGGGTTACTTTGTTCAGTCTTTTTATTTGATTTTTTTATATAAAATATAAAAATTTGTGTTAATAATTTAGAATTAATATTTAATGTTGAATATTTAAATATTAATTTTGTAATATAATAAAAAATATATTAAAAATTATGTAAAAAAAAAAAAAAAAAAACCTTTTGAATTCAAACTAAAATCAAACACCCCTTCTTTTTTAATATAATAATAATAACTTGACCTTAACAATAAAATAAAATTAATGTCAAATAATTTTTTAAAACTAGAGTGATTAATTCCAAAATTTTATGAATAAATCTAAAGTTAAATGAATATGAACCATAAGGTGTGCTGTACCAAAACCAGTCTGTAGTTGATTACCTATAATTTAATTCAGCCGCAGCCGCCATTTAAATACAAAACCGGCAGTTGTATTTTTACACTGATTAATTGAAAATTGTAAATTTTAGAGAATTAGTTCATCCCCAACCCATCATCTCTATTTATCCAATTTTAATTCTAAATATATCGGTTGCTACAGTAATTTTATTTTAACCATAACTCCATTTTTCACTATTGTTCTTTAAATATTCAATTTTTCCTATTATTTTAAACAATTTTTAATTTTTATAATTTAAAATAAATTTTAAAAAATTTAAAAAAATAAAATTTAAATTTAAAAATTTAAAATTAAAAAAATTAAAAATAACAATAATAAATAAATAGTGTCTTGCTACAGTGCAACACCAAAAATGGTGTTGCACTGTAGCAAACTATAAATTTGATGCATGAAATGACGTTGGATTGGAGCACTATCGCGGCAAAAATGGTATTGAAACACCATAAATAGAGCATGATTGGAGATGCTCTTAGTATTTTATTAATTTATATAAAAATATTTCTTTCAATAAATATTTCTATTTATTAGATGCAGTCATTACAGTCAAATGTCTCTATAAGTCGACACATATACTCAAATATTAAATATTTGGGTGAAAATTTTAATTAAGTTGAAATAATTAATATTTTAATTTTTTTAGAGTAAAGAAAAAAAAATATTATGATTTAAAAAATATATATTTTTTATATAATAATAATAATAATAAAATAATAATAAAAATTGTCCTTATTGTTTCGTCTAAAATACTACATCGTCCATTATAAAATTTTATTTATTTAATACGTGCTAATCTTTTAAATATTAATTATTATATTAAAATATAATATAAATTAAAAAAATGACAAAAATTATTTTTATAAGTGTTTTAAAATACAAATATAATGATATTTATATAAAATATTATACTATTTTTTATAAAATGTTTAAAAAATAAAAAATTAGATATTTTAATAATTTTTTCATAATTTTCAATAAATAATAATAAAAATTTTGCCTACCGAAAAAAATATAATACTTATGTCTTTATTTGTTATTTTACTTACAAATAGCTAATATCAAACAATTATTTTATCAAATACTTTGGAATAAACAAGTAATTGAATCCGCTAATCAAATTAACAATCGAATCAGCTAACAATTAATCGAATCAACTACAGCTAATTGCCAAACGCAGATATTTTAGGATTTTTTTTTTTTTTTTGATAATATAAATTTGTCAAAATTCTTTAAACAAATATTATTTCAAATGTAAGTATAGTTTAATTTTATAATTTTAAATTTTTAGTTAAAAAATTGAGATGACCCAATGGAATAGGTATTCGATTTAGCAGGACAACTACTAAACTCCCAAAAGAAGCCTCTAGATTAACAGCGACTGCTGCTTTTTTTAATATTCAGCTCATATTTAGCATTTTGTAATAATATTCCATTTGTCCACTCTATTCACCTATTCCTTCCGTCTCATAACTGTAGTCATAATTAAGTTGGACACGAGATTTAAAAAATATTTATATTATATTAATAGTTGGTAAAAAGTATGGATAAAAGATTTTTTTGCGTAAAAAGCAGTGACAATTATATAATAAAAATAAAAAAGTAAAGGTAATTTATAGTAATATAATTATTTATGAAAATAAAACTATTATTTTAGAACAAAATAGTACTATTTAGTTGAATAAAATTATTAAAAATACAACATATATATAAGACATATATAATAGGAGTATATAAATTTTATTCTTTTACGAAAAAAATCAGTAATTTAATATAAAATATTATATTTATATTCTTTCTATTCGTCCCTTAATAATTTATTTATTTTAATATATCTCATAACAAATTATTTATTTTCTTTTTTAGTAACTGCAATTTTTATTAAAAATATCATTACAACTTACAATATATTACACAAATATCATTAATATTAATTTTTTCTACTTTATTCATATCGTACCTCAATATTATACCAATATTCCTAAAACTCTGTGCAAAAAGCAAGGATAAAAGAGTGAAAGGTGTATTATTAATACGTATTTAACATAAAAAAAATATATCTATATCAATTAAAAAATACAAAATGAAGGAATATTTTTTAAAATAAATAAATAGTGGGTGCTTACATTAATGCAGCTAGTAATTGTTTGATTGTGATGTGCTTATCCTATACTTAGAAGATAATGCTACAATATTCAAACTGAACTACTTCTAAATTAACTTATCATAACCTAATTAATAATGCACCAATCATATTATCACCATTTCTATTTTTATTTTTATTTTTTTAAATTTATAAAATAGGATGAGATCGTGTTTTTAGGGTATGTTCGATAATATTTAGAAATTTTGAAATTGTTTTAAAAAATTAAATATTTCCTCTGTAATGAAAGTATTTTTTTTATTATTCTTGCTGTATTCATTTTTTTATTATAATAAAATAATTATATACTAATATTAAAATATTCTCAATTTGTATATTAATTAAAAATATAAAAATTATCTTATACATTTTTATTAATCAATAAAATATTACTAATTTTAATCTATTATAAAAATTCAGAAAAAAATGAGACTGATATAAATATTTAATAGGAGATTTTGCAATATAAAATATATTGAATATATTTTTAAAATCATATTATAGTGAATAGTATTAAAGATATAAAATTTCAAGTAAATAAAATTATTATAAATAATTTTTTCATAAATTTAAAATAACACAAAAATAAATAATGAAATAGTTTTGACAAACTAAGTAAATAGTTATTATTAACGACGTGAGTCGGTAAAGGCGGAGAAGACGGAGGGCATGGGTATGCATGTGCGATGCACGTGGGTATCGCGTGTCACGCGGTTCAAGATATTCTCAATAACCAATACATATTAAATTATTTTTAAATAAATACAGGTTTTGTTATTTTTTTGTAAAATTTTCTCAAATTTTACTAGTCTTAAAAAAAATTAAATATATATATATATTTTTGTCTCGCAAAATATTTTATCAAATATTATTTTTATATCAAATTCAAATCAATTTTTTTTCAAACTCATATAAAAAAAAAAAAAACACAACCACAATTACTTTTCACTTTTTTATTAGTATTATTTAGGAAAAATATCATCCACCAATTTTTTTTTTTACAAAATATTAAATTAAATATTAACTTTTTTAAAAAAAATTCAGTACTAACGCATTTCATTTCCTTCCAACTGAAATTAAATACAATATCTTTTATAGAAGTCTTTCTAATATATATATATATATTAAAAAAAGAAATTAATTATATGTATATATATATATATATCTAATAATAACAATTAACAAATACACAAGGTATACTTTTCAACATCTGAAATTGGACATATAGGACAAATTTATTTAATTATTTATTTATATGTCACGCTTGAATTGTAATAAATGCATTGGGATGGCTACCCATTCACATTCAAAGAACCTTTCTTCATTCACAATATATTTATTGTGTGTATACTATGACCAAAATAAAGATAATGGTTAAATTTATTTATATTTTAATATTTTTTTCAAAAATTTAAACCCCTATTTGAGATTTTTATTTTTTTTTTTGAAAAAAAAAACTATACTATGGAAACTCTACATATATATATATATTTTAAAAAAAATAAAAATTAAATAGTATAACAATTTTACACTATTTATACACAAAATGCAAAGAAAAACAAATTTCGAATGTTCATTTTTCTTATTCAATATATCACATTCAATTATATTTTCATCTAAAAAAAGTAATAATTTATTTACTTTTTACAATTAGACAAATCTTTTGTATTTTTTAAATATTTAGTTTTTTTTTTTTAAAAAAAAATGGTATCTAATATTAAAATTTTGTTCACTATTATATTGTATAGCTAATGTATATAAACACACGTACACATTAATACACCTTAAATTAAGTAATTATATTAACAAATTTGTTACATAATTCAATAAACTTGATAAAATATTTTTTAATATTATATATTCAGTATTAAACTGAAAATAATGATGATTTATCTAGATATGAAAATCTTTCTAATTATTGACTGTGTTAATTTCTAATTGAAATCAAAATTATCATTATTCAGCTTTACAATTCTTAATGAAAACACGTTATATTTTACAAAACATTACATTTATTACTATTTACATAAATACTAAGGGTCATTTTTTTTTTTTCGTATTAATATTTGAATATTAATTATTATATCATATAAATTAAAAAAAATACAAAAATACTTCAATTAGTGTCTTATGGAGTAATACTAATAGAAGGACATTTATAAGTAAAAAAAAAATTATACAAATATAAAAATATTTTAAATGTTAAGTAAAATAAAGCAAAAAAATAAATGTAATCCTTAAATGCGTACAGATGAATATTATAGTAAAAAAATTAAAACAAAAAATAAGTGTAATAACTAACAATATTTTTTTTGGTCAATGTTATCTGATAAATTAACTAGACACTAATAGACAAATTATGAGTTACCGAAGAGGCGCAAACTTTTCTACAAAATTCTCAAAGTGTGAAGGTGTTCGGCTAAGATGGAAATATATTTGCTAAAAAAAATCACAATCAGTTCAAAAATAATTGATTGTCTATTCATAGGCTATATATTTAACGTTAACGCATATCATTTTCTTATTCACAAATCGAAAATTTCCAACACAAGTGATGGGATGATGATAGAGATAAGAAATGACACTTTTTTTTTAATAACGTGAAAATTCACCGTTGCTACTTGACGAGTGTGCTTAGGATAAACTTTCGGCCGAACTTAATAGTCTATAAATTAAGTTTGACAAGACAAATCACACTAGACGAATAATATGTGACAAACAAAACCTGAAAACATCGGAGTTTCAACTCATGACCTAATAATCAGACTTTGTTTGAAGATATAATTCTTTGAAAAGGTAAGGATGACATTTCCGTTCTGAGAAGTGACTATTAGATTCAATCCCTTAGAAGAAGAATCGAGACGCAATCAAAGAATAAAAATGTCCAAGAATTTTTGGTTTTCACTACATATTGGGTGATGAGCCAAAGACAATGAAAGAAACATTATCGGGACTAGATGCTAAATTTTGGCAATAAGTGATAAATGACAAAATTAATTAGTCGTGTGAAATCGTACTTAAATCTTGGCTAGTGAGTAAGAAAAAAAAAAAGAAACAAAACAAGACTATTGGCTTGATCGAAAAGTTTGAAGTCTGATTGGTTGTTAAAGAGTTTTAAACAAAAAGAGGTAGATGACTTTTTTGACATGTTCTTTTTTGTGTTTAGGATCACTTGGATTAAGGTGTTTCTCGCTATTACTGGCTCGCACAAAAAATTTAAGGTGTTTTTTTTTAAATTTTAAATAAAAAATTAATAATTTAATACAAAATATTATTGTCTCTTTCATTGAAATTTATATCTATTTGATTGGACAAGAATTTGAAAAAAAAAAAGAAGTAAAAATATAATTTTTTATTTCAAAGTAAAAAAATAAAAAAAAATATTTTTTTTACTAAAAAAAATGAATATATTTTTTATGACAACTAAAAAATAAATATAAATTTAAATAATATATATAATTTTTTTTTTTATATTTTCGATATAATTATTTATATTTAATATAAAAATAAAAAATATATAAACCCTAAAGTGCCCTAATTGCAGTGGTTTGCTGGCAGAGGAGAAATCTAGAAACGCATTTGATTACAAGTCATATTTTTTATTTTATTTTATTTTATTTTTCACATCCACCTGGATCCAACGTATGACTAATTAATGCTGCCTTTGTTATCAATTGGATTATTGAATTGAAAATTAGGTTGGGAGTAATTTATTAATTAATATGTAATTTATGATTTAATGTATATAAGATTTAAAAGTTAAAAATATGTTTTAATTATTTTGATAAAATATACTCTCTCTGTCCAAGCTAAAAGTATACAATTACTTTGGGCGGAGATTAAGGAATAATAGTATTTTAATTATAGTATGCAAATAAAAGTAGTAAAATGACATTTTTGTCCTTACTTTTTTTGTATAAAAGTAATGATGTGATGTAAAGTAGGTTTATTTGTGAAAAAAATGAGATATTTAATGAAATGGTTACTTTGTAATTGGACGTCCCAAAATAGAAATATGTATACTTTCTAACTGGACAGAGGGAGTATAAAATAAATATTATTATGTAAAGAATAAAATTTTATATAATACAAATTAAAAAATTAAATTTTATTTATAATTAATATAAATTAATTTGTAAATAAATATAAATTTTTGAATAAATATAAATATATATGTTTATTGAAAGAAAAAAAAAAATGAATAAATTTTAAACGAGTCTCATATATGTAATATTAAAAAATAAAATTGAAAGATAATGGCTCTTGCGACTAAATCTACGAAGAGTTGTCCGCTGCAAGTCATATTTCCACTGCAGTGGTTATGTACGTCATGTCAACCACGTGAACACACTCAATGGAATTCAAAGTTCAGTCCCTTTCAATAACAGCCATTTCGTTGTATGTTTATTTGTTCAATATTTTGTAAATACAAAAATTTATATTTTGGATGAATTTGTGACTGTAAGGTTATAGATTTAAGCTCGATATTTTTAGATTTTGGTGACTAATTTGTAGAGTATTAGATTTTTTGCTATTATTATTAATTAATTAGGATAGGATAGGATGATCAAATTTGTGATGTTTAGTTGAAGTTGGTAGGATGATGATTTCGTGGGAACTTTAATTTGGTTGTGTACATGTTAATAATTAATTAATTAATTAATTAGTGTTTAAAAAAGTAAAAGTTGTGGTTGTGGAGTCGATGTTTTTGACGTTGGGTTGGGTGAAGCAATTCACGTCGTTCCCTGATTATTCATTATTGTTCAATTCATGATGCCACCACCACTAACACTATTATTATTATTATTATTAATTTCGTCATTCGCATTCGCTGTTTTTTTTGTAAATTTCGAGTATGAATCTAATTGTCGGCAAATTAAATAGCAAGGTAAATAATACCAAACGAATCATATGTAAAAAACGTCGAAAAGTTAAATAACGAATGAAATTTTTCACATCATAAAAATATATATATATATATTAAAATCGAAAAATGTATTTTCAATTTACATCAACACAGGGATCTACAAACTGCTAATTAAAATGACTACACCACACGGATCTACAAACTACTAAATTAAAACTCGAAGCTGCAAAATTTTCCCTCATTCTTACATACATACATACAAACAAATGAGAAGAGAAAGTGTAAGTACGAGAAAGAAAGGACTATCATCAAAACAAGTCAAATCTTCCCATTTCATATAAGTTAACAGACAAAAAACCATGAAAACATATTATACACAGAAACAGAAGAGCCATTTGCACTTTTTCACTTACTGCAGATTTTTAACACAGGCAGTCTAAATACCGGTGCTCGTGGCGTCTCCGGTTGAACTCCAGCAAGCTGCCGTACACCCTGTCGGCGACGCCGACAAACAATGCCTCCGTGTCGGGGCTAAACGATATTCCGGCGATCTCCCCAAACAGGTCGATTTCTTGCCCCTTGGCGTAATCGGATTGGGTATTGAAGATGTGGATGAAGTCGGCCGGTTCGGCCATGGCCAAGAATCGACCGTCCGAAGTGAACCTTATGGCCCGGATTGCGCCCATCCTTCCTTTGAGTATGGTCACCGACTCCGAAAGATTTCTGATGTCCCACAATCTGCATGTCGTGTCCTGATTCCCGGTGGCGAGAATTCGGCTGTCGGGATGCCATGCGGATGCGAAGGAGTAGTCCAAGTGACCCTTTAGGCTGCCTATAGCCTGCAAAAGGAGCTCGTCAGGATCAGATTTTTCCATTTGGATGTTGAAGGGGTGAGCGTGTTTATATACCTTTCCTGATTGGGCGTCAGCCATCAAACAGTCGGCACTGTCGCCGAGAACAGCAAGCATTTTTCCGTCGGGGCTCACCGATGTGTTCTGTAATCGAAGATGAAATATTGTATAGTTAGATGTCTGCGGGTTTTAAACCGTGAAGCGGGATTCCCAACAAAAAATATGGGGTGTAGAAGTTGACTCACGTTGACAGACCACGGATAGGCGAATCGATTTAGGCAAGTGAAATTTGCGGCATCCATAACCCTGACTTGGGCGTCGTTGTTAGCTGTCATTACCCTCAGTGCACCACTGGCGAAGTAGATAGAAAAAAACCACAATTAGATCGACGCTAACGGATCAAAATAGATAAATCGAACGTATTGTATGTACCTAGGGTTGCGATATATGTCCACAGCATTTGTGATTGCATTTTCATCGGTGGATAATTTCGTCGAGAATGCAACTCCGGGCTTGTCTAGATACTGACCAAAAAGAAAAAGTATAAAATTCCAATAAGCTTAAGGAACAAGTGATGGCTGCAGCTGAGCATGTTATGGCGGCCGGAAAATTACCTTGCAGATGAGCTCGCCTTGGAAACCCCCGGCCACCATTAAATTGTCCTTCACTGTTAAAGTACTTATCTGAACCCTCGAAAGAGGCTGTGCTAAACATCCGGGATATTTCTGCTCGAAAACATTGCATTGCACTTTTAGAAACCAAATTACAGAAGACTATGTGAGATTTTAACAACTTGGAACGATCCAACTCACCAGCGAAGGTACGATAGGTTTGGCGACATTCAGAACTTCTTTACCCCTCTTGAGAAGGGGCGACCAATGCATCACCGAGTAGTTTTGCATGAGGTATACGTCGTGTTTTGAAGTTGCCCATAAAAGATTCCTCAGCTGCGACGTAAAAAGTTACGCAGTTAAAAACAAATAAAAGTTGCAAATAAAGCATCACTAGAATATTGAAATGTAAACATAAGGTACAAACACCGAATAAAATAAATTGTAGAAAATGGCCACCAACAGATTCTGGGAAGCTATGGTCATTCACAAGCAATGGAAATTCCAATAAAGCTAACAGCAATGGAGAGAACCATTCATTCATATTCTTTGGCGTTCGTAAAACACGAGGAATGAAAGAAATAAAAAAGCAAAAAAGAATATATGCAGGGATTCTAGCACAATAGATTATATTGTGTGCCAGTGTCGAAGAAAAATATTTCTAATTCACAATACAGGCAACAAACAAGCATTCAAAGAAAATAAAATCAATTTAAAAAATATGAAACCACAAACAGGATACTGCTGCTAATATAATCGAACAGTGAAAAATGAATATGATCGAGAGATTAGTTTATTATGGGGATCATAAACACTGGTGAAACAGTAATCACCCGAGCAGGGAAAGAAGGCAAGTAATTCTATTAACACAATCACAGTGAGAAGAACAGCGCAATGAAGAATGAGCAAAAAGAACTAAGTGTTAGGTTAATCTATGTATGCATGCAGGGCATTCAGTAACTGATCTATTTTGCTAGGATGAGTAAAAAGACATCTAACACCAGCACACAGGGTTCGGAAGTTAGATATTTACTTCAAGGGAAAAAATAACTGAACATAATAAACATCAAGAAATGCAACCAAAATACGTGAAAATGCAGTCGAACACAACCAAAGCAATTAAGAAATTAACAAACAGATGAATCCAGCTCATATACTAAACGGCAATGCACAAAACACTATATCATATGCAAAATTGTGCCTGACCACATTTTTTCACACAAGGAATTATTAAATGCAAAATAGGAGTCAGCCACAGAAAACGATTCGAAAAAAGTTTGATCCCTAACAAACAAAAACTAAAACTACTGTCTCTAAATGCTCATATAACCCCCTATCATACCATATGCACATGGTGCCTTATCCGCCAGCAGCTCAGACAAAAACTTCAGTCTTGCATCTAAAGGCTGAAATGAAGATAAGTAGCATTCCCATGTCATGGGTTAAATTACAGGAAGTTAATGTAAACATAAAATATCTTTCAAACTTTATGTTCTCAATAGCCTGCACGGTCATAAGAAAGTTTTATCGACACTAAAACATCAACCACACTTCTAATATATCATATCACACTTCTCAAGTGAGGCATACATAAAATGGGGAATTAGCCTAAACCTTCCCGGGAAAGCAATGATGATCAGAAACTGCTCCAATTAGGAGCCATAGAAGAATTAGAGATACGGTAATTAGGCCATAAGTACTGCTGCCAGCTCTCATAACTGTAGACTATATCATGCTATTAAGTAAAAAGCATGAAGAAGTAGCAAGTTGGATCAGCAGCCTAAATCACAAAAAACTTCCGGAGGTTGTTACGCTAAGTTACATACTCACCCCAATGCTTCCATGACCATAACTTGGCATCACAAAAGTCAGCGGTATAACATCCCGGTAAACAATTATAATATTGCACCTTCCAGTAACAGATCTTCTAAAAATATTATTCATGCAACTCTTTGCAAGGGTTAATAATCTGCACAAAAAGGATTCGGTGAATACAGGCCCAGTCCAACATCAGTTGAACTGGGCAGAGGCAAAAATCTTTAACTAAACATTTATATGATTCGAAGCTAAATATAATTTATGGACATATTAATGCAATTGTGAGTGCATCCATACAAAAAGGAAGTATTAATGAACTCCATACCTTAAAAAAGAATATGTGCTCCGCTAGAGGAGTAGGGTCTATTGTTTAGACATCAAACACAGATATATAAGCATGGCACCTTCAATGCTACACCACTATCTCTCGTAACGAGTGATTGAAGAAGCCGGAGAAAGGTCAAACTTTCTAAATAATAATCCTATCACTAGCTTTAGTCAAAGCATTCAGAAAGATACTTCTAAGCACAAAAATGTAAAACATATGCACGTCAACATTGAATAATACCAATGTCTAAAGAAGCTCTACTTCAGTTCAATAATATATGCTTGAAGGGTTAGATTCATCTTGGTCAAAGATGCCAGAAATTAGTGACTAAGTATCATCATTCATCACAAAAGAACCAGTGGGTGCTCAATGAAAATCCAAACTGCGCATTTTTTATAATATATTCAAAATTCAAATGTGAGAGAAAACTGATGCAGGGCTGCAGCTATTAGATTTGAAAACATATATGCAAGTAGCCTAATTCGTTTTATCAAAGCTTCCACAGTGTGAAAGGGTAATGCTACTTTAATTTGTCGCTACCTGAAAATGCACAATTGTAGACTTGACCAATCTGGTGTTAAACTGAAAATCGTAGAAACTGTGGCCCTTCTCCACATCTTTGCACTCCTGTGGCGGATGAAAATAAACTTTACTAAGTACCAGCCAGAAAATATTTGCTGAGATTGTCAAATTATAAAAGTACGTTTCCATATACTAAAAGCACAAAAAAAAAAAGAAAAAACATAGATATTTTCACTATAGTGCTGATAAAAAAACAAAAAAACTGCCAAGCTAGGGCAACTAAAATCCATGTCAGGTGGAATGGTTAGCAAAATAGATGTGCCAAATTCACATGAAGCTGGATAGCAACTAGTAAGGACAGGTCCGTGGTGTGTGCGGAGAACTGTCACAAGAACCACCTAAATTTTTAATTAACGTAAGATATAAATCCCTGCTCATTTTATAGCATTGTTTTATAACTTAAACAAAGGCTATAGTGAGTTTGTGACCAAATATTCCATATTAATTTGATGCGTGCTTAGCTTTTTCTAAGACAGTATGATTATGACTGCTGAATACCAATTAGTATAAGTGTAACAGAGCATGACTCAAACAATATTAAAAGGAAAAGCGCATAGAAATAAAATACCCTAAGAAGATCTTCACGAGAGGTCGAGAGATTCTCATAATTTTTGTATTGTTTCAATCGGGATTCGCGGTACTTCTCCCTAGTATAATTGAGCCTTTCCCATGGAATACCCTGTATATCTTTGCCATTCCTCACCTCCAAAGCCGAGGTATCGGTTTTTGACTTTCCCTGGCATACAATACAAAGAATCGCCGTTAGCCGAGCCTCCCAAAACGAGCACAATTCATACTACATAAACTAATAAATACCACATCAAAGTCATCCTCAAAGTCCGAGTCCATTGAATCATCATTGCTGAAACTACTTCGGCTTCGCGATGAGACGTCGTCGTCGTCGTCCTCGAAATCAGAGACGTCATAATAGTCATCTACAACATACTCCAGTTCCTGATTCTGAAATTGCTCCATCACTTTTTTCCCTGTAAGTTTCACGAACAGCAGAAACATCAAAAGATTAATCAACCTTTAATCAACAAAAAACCACCTTCTCCAGAGGCGATCTGAAGAATCTACGCAGCGATAAATAGATCACTCAACAGAACGCATCCTAAACCCGTAGTATTAACCCCTCCCAAGACACAAACAATCACGTCTAAAATAGAAACACATTCCTACACCTACAGAACCAAACAAGCAAAAACAACAACCTCCATAGACAAAAACACCAAAACACCAAACCTGAATCAATCAACGACAAAAACAGCAAAACACAAACGAAATAAACATAAAACAGCACAACAATTAACAAGCCACATTGAGCTCATAGTCTAAGGTACAACGCAACGAAAAATCACAATATACAAACAAATAAACCAGGAATTACCTCACGATTCACACTCTTCCGAGCGGCGACGGTGAACAGTTGCGTGCGTGCGAGGAGAGGAGAAAGTATCTCGGTGCTTCCAATCTAGTCTAGAACCATACAGGAGAGAGAGAGAGGGAGAGATTATCGCCTGCAGTGGCAGAACAGCGTAGAATGGTGAAGCCTTGGGTCATACTTATAGGCGGAGGAAGAAGGGTACACAAGGAAATGGGAAATCCGTGTGCTTTGATCCTGTGGGGCCCACCCTAGACGGTCCGGCAATTGCTCTTTTGTCTGCCGTTACATCTTACTTCATCACTCTAAATTAAATGTACTCAACAAAATTTTTAGATAGAGATTAATAAAAATAGTATCTTACGTCCGACCCAATATAATAATTTTATTTATATTTTTGTTTATTTTAAAATAATAAATACTCATATTATAGAAAAATTATCTCTTATTTTTTCATTATTATTATACAAATGTCACTACTTTTTTACACTAATACATTTACAAGAACAAAGAAATTTTTTTTTATATTTTTGACCAATTATCAATATAATAACAATATTCTTTACATTTCGTGTCCAACTCAAATAAAATCATAATTTTGGGAGCATGTAGCATTATTTTTGTATTTTTACTTTTTTTTTTTTATGGATAAGGCTGAAATATTTATAAAGTTAGTTATATAATTTTTAAATTAAAATAATTTAAGTGTGAGAAAATATATATGGAGTCAGACATGATGTAAGTATATGAAACTAGTTGTTAGAAATTTAAAGAATAATTGAATTATTTTAATAAGTTTTTTTTTTTTTTTTTATAGTTTGAGAAATTTTTGTATAGTATGTTCGAAGAAGTTATCTACTAATAATATAAAAATAATATTTTATTTTAATTATTAATTTTTTATAAGAATATATATTATGTCCTATATGATTATATAGTATATTTTTCTCCTATATTAATAAATTTGTCAAAATTTATTGAGTGAACACATCATAATACTAGCACCTTTCTTTTGGTAAGAGAGCATTTTAAAATGGAAGGCGTTTTCCTTTTCTATTTTTCAAATTATAGGATTTGGTTAGATAATATTTTGGAAAATAAAATATTAATAATCAAAATTATACTCTCTCCGTCCCAGAATTATAGCATGGGTTATACTTAGTACCAAATTTTAGGAGTATTGATATTATATTGGGAGTGGATTTGTGAGTGTATTAGTGTAAAAAGTAGTGGCAATTGTGTAATAAAAATAAAAAAATAAGGATAATTTTATAGGGATATGGTTATTTATGAAAATGAGACTATTGTTCTAGAACGAACAAAAATGATAAACATGACTATTGTATTAAGACGGAAAAAATATTTGATATTATATTTAATAAGAGAGAAATATATATATTTGATATGCGTTTTTTTGAAAGTATATAAACTAGTAATATAATTTTTACAATGTTTAATTTTAACTCATTCAAATTTATACAAAAAAAACAAAAGTGTTTTCCCCTATTTTCTGGAACACAAGAATATCCCTAGTATTGACTAGGCTATAGACCCCAAATCAACGTTCAATTTGACGGTTTGGGTTGTTTTAGAATTAATTTAAAATAAAAATTTTATTTAAATAATATATTGATTTGGTATTCTATATATATAAAAATATAATATATTATTATTAAAAATAACACATAATAAATAATATCAATTTTGATTGAAATGTAATCACAATCAAAAGCTGTGTTTTTTCTTGAATTATAATTTAATATTTTACGGAAAAATAAAATTATAGTTATTAAAAATTGTAAATGAATAATAAAAAAAATAAATGCAAAATTATAACCAAACACTGACCGGTTTATTGTAGATATTTAGAATAGTAAAATATAATTAATAAATAATTAAGAAGTATATTAATAAATATAATTATTATATAATAAAATTAATTAAATATTAAAATTAAAATAACTAAATAGTATAATTAAATATATAATCATATTTTTTTGAGAAAAATGACAAATAAGACGGGATAGAGATAGAAATAGTAAACGAAAAAAGTGTAGGACGAGTGAAATAATAATAATAATAATAAATTCGAAAAAGTAAGAAAAAAAATATTCAAAGATTTATAAAGAAGAGCAATTAATGAGGGAAAGTTTAACGAATGGAATAAATTCAAGAATTTGTGTGTTCTTTTTTAGAAAAACAACACACCCTTACAGTTTAAGGAAAATAATTTATTTGTTAGAAAACAACTCTCCAAGTATAAGAAAATCTATCTAATATTTACTTTATTCCGATGTGTATATACAGATATATATTTTATTTTATTTTATTTTATTTTTATTTGAACAATAGATGTATATTTTTAAAATATTATATTCCATAAACTTTTTCTATGTAAAAAAATATATCTAATAACTATTTGCATTTGTATACATAAGAAAATACAAATTAACGTATTCGTGCAAAAAAATGTTAAATTGCATATATATATATATATATATTACTCCCTCCATCTAATTTCTATTGTCCTAAAGTATATTTGGACGTTTTTTTAGGCGATTGTCTTTTTGTTATGAATTGACAAATTTGTCCTTAATTGTATGATAAAGATTAAAAGTAATAAATGAATGAAAGATAAAAATGTAAAATTTGTATTTAAAAAAGAAATAGAACAATAATTGTTTGATGTCCCAAATAAAAAATTAAAATATTAGTTTATGGACGAAGGGAAAAGAGTATACTTTATTAAAAATATGATGTAACATGAAACTCATGGTATATATATGTTAATTTAAATTATAGTAGTAATTTAATATAATATTTTATTAATATATATTTAAAATGAAAAGTCATACCAAACAACAATCGAATTTTATGTTGGGGAATTTTAGAGGTAGTGGGAAAAAAAAAAAGTTAATAAACCACCCACAAATTAGAATCATACAAGTTGTAGCACCAATTACCAATTTACCCTCCATCAATGTGAAATTCTCCACTATCTAAAATATCTTCACGTAACTTTTTTATTTTATTTTTTTATTTTAACTTTAATATTGATCGATTTCTTACATAATAATAATAAAATGTAAATCATCATTATCTATATAACAATAATTACTACATAAATTAAAAGTGCAACATTTGAAAATTGTTTAAAATGTATTACAGAAAATATAATCAACTTATGAACTACGGTGAAAAACTGCAGTTTATTTAACATAAAATAATTAATTCATTCAGCTGCAGTTCAAATCGATCAGACTGACGTGTATTCAAAAGAAATATCGATCTAATATATATGTTATAAATGATAGGCAGATTTTAAAAATTTTAGTTTTATCATTATTTATTAGTTTTTTTTTTAAAAAAAAATATTTGTTGTCAAATCTTTATCAATAGCTTATATTAGATTCGACTGAAGTTTACTCAAAACCCACTTAATAAGTAGTAACGGCGAATTTCTATATTATAAAATAAATAAATAAAAAAGACCAATTGAAATTTTCAATTTTCATAATATTTAATATATTCAATTTTTATTTATATTTTTCAT